ATATCACAATATCATTTAAAAGAAACCATGTACAATAAAGTTCGCGCGGCTTGTTGCCTGTTCGAAGATGCGTTTCAAGATAGTTTTATAATTCACTAATCATGACCCCCACCCCCCTCTGAACCAGTACTTTAGTAGTAATTCAATAACCCCAACTTCCCCGCAAAAAAATGCACGTTCGGCATTGGACAACAATATTTAAAAAGTAAGCTCAAACGAACTTTCTCATCCATAGTATTACAAAATCTAGAAGAAATATTTATGCTTCCCCGCCCAAAGCACAAATTAATCGGTTAGTCAATATCAACCAAGAAATGTTGAAGAACAACAAGTGCTAAGAAGCATTTTTGACTAGTGACCTGTGCACGCTTTTAAGTCGCAAATTTAATGCTTAAGGACTTGTCATAAAGTGCAAGGGGAGGGGAGGGGGTAAATTCCAAAACTGGCAGATTTTTTTATGCCACCCACACGTATATTTTTGCACAAAAAATACATGGCCCACCCAGGTTTTCAAGGGCAAAAAATTAAAGAGCCTCTTAAGTGCCCCATATCATTGACAGCCCACCACTTTCAAGGAGCACTAAATTATCTGCCCCACCCCCTTATTTTACCTGCCACACCTGTTAAAATTTTATGGACTGAGGAGGCGAATGATGATGATGATGATGATTATGATAATAATAAGCTATCATCACGTGTCTAAAATATTTAGCTTTACGGCTAACAGTGCATGACGTAATAGGTTGCTATCAATAGACGTCACTTCCGGTAAAAGCTCTTTTTTGGTGGCTTTGTAGAATCCTGGTTGTTTTGATCTCTTGTTTTCTGGTTTGTTGTCGTGAAAATAGTCAAATACAATAGTTTGAGGATTTATTTTGAATGCTTTGACTTAGCATCCGCTAGTTGCCCCCCAGTCAACCGTCAACTCCAAAAAGTCACGTGATTGATAGTAAGCAATTACCATTCAGTCAATCGTCTGAACCCAGGTGAATGAATGTTAATCGAAGTATTATAATTATCCAGGTGGTCATATTTATACTGTCACGATAACAATAGCCTAATTACCTGAAGTAGCGTAATTGGCGGCATCGGTCTAATGAGTGCGAGTCGCTGTTTCGGTGTTGTGGGCGGTTTTATTTTTTCTAATAAGCCTATTAAACGGAGCCGGTAAGTTAATAAGCCTTTTCATAGTTTAAGAATCGATTCCACTGCGCATGCGATTTTATCCCGAATTTCTCACCTTCTTTTGTCTAAACATTCTTCTGTTCTTAATTAAACAAAAGAAGGTGAGAAATTCGGGATAAAATCGCATGCGCAGTGGAATCGATTCTTAAACTATGAAAAGGCTTATTGAGCGGTTTAGCGGTTTGCCAAGTTTGAGCATCATCCACGTGACCCTAACGCCTTAAACGAGCAGTTGCTTTAAAGTAATCAACAGAAATGGAAAGAGCGCATCAATATTAGCAAGAAGACCAAGTATTATGTTGTTAAACAAGAAATGGCATTGAATATAAAATTGAATTTTTATTAAGGTTTAGTATGGGAAAATGCTTTGGTAAGCTTCGCCATTCATTCAAATTTTAATGTCACTTCTCCTGCAATACATATTACGAACTAAATCTTTCCCTTCTCACTAATATCGAGGTGATTTTTCAGTTTATGGTGTTCATTTTCACGGTGTTGTTTGTTTACTAGTAAGGAGATGGGTCACGTGACCTATTATAAGTACATGTCACAATTACTAAACAACTCATTCACGTATTGTGCAAATGGATCATGAGGAAAGAGCCGAATTACAACCATTATCGTTGAAGTGCGACCCTCAAAGTTTGATGTCTCGTTCGCCAACCAGAATTTCAACGGCCGTCAATCAAAGAACTAGAATCAATAATGTTCAATAATTTCTTTTAAAGAACTCCGCGTTAGTCGCTGTGAACCTTAAATCTGACACCTTCAATTCGACGTCTAAATCAGGTTGCCACATTTAACTTATCTAGTCGGATTGAATTGAAATTGGAATCGAATTCAGCACATGTAAAATGTGAGGTTAAACTAATTCATACACACGAATGGCTCCATGGCAACAATTGTTTATGCTTTTGGTTTCTTAGCAACGTCTTTGTTTATACCTTCCTTGAATGCGTAACGATCACTTTCACTTTTCATGATCACTTTCTAATCAGACAGCTTAACTGCATCGTATCTCAATGAATCTCGAATACCTTTTCAACTTAAAGCGAAAACCAAGACGAAAAATTATAAAGTGGCTTCGCCATAGGTCGCTGTTACCAGATCCCCTATATTGTGGAACCTGCAATGAAAACATGGTCCTCGATAAACGAAGGGAAAGCCATATCGATGGATATAGTTGGTAAGAATGACAAGATAGATAATAATATTTGATAAGATAGATTCTCATTTAACAGCTTGTGAAATCTATGTTCTCTCCTAAACTGTCCTTCGCTTTTTCTCTTATGTCTAGGAGGTGTCCATATTGTTCGAAAAGAAGATCTCTTAGAACAAACAGTATCTTTGCAGCCTTTTCCAAAATCTCTTTGGGAAACTTGATGATTCTGATGTTTTTCTGGAGTCAAGATGCCAGTCAAAAACATGCTTCCAGAGCTATTGGGCTAAGTGCTAATGTCACTTCAAAATTTTACAGAATGCTGCAAGATCTTTGCTCTCAATATTTGGAGAGATATCCAATCCAGCCGTTTGGTGGTCCCAACTGCATTGTTCAATGCGATGAAAGCAAGTTTAACCTTAAGCCCAAGGTAAGAATAACGATGCCTTTACTGGCAGCAAAGTACTATTGTTTCATACGCATTCCATCTTTTCTCTGATATACTTTCATTCCCATTCCTTATACCTTTAAAACGTCCTTAAATGAAAGTAAGTTTCTAAAATAAAGCATATCGCGTTTTATTTTTGATCATCAAGCATAAACACCGGATTCCCCGAATCAAACTTTTCGCGCGGCCATCATTACTATTGTTAACCTGCTATTGTTTAGGCTCTTCCTTTATTCCTCCTCTTTAATTTGGATTAGCGTCTTTCTACTGTTGCCGGCATTTTTTATTTATTGACGGTACAATATCAAAACACTTTCACCTGTACCACTATAGTATCGTTTTTACGGTTTAGATAACTTCGCACAATAATTCACTCATATTCAGGTGGTTATAGAGATTTCACAGATAATAATTAGCGCGCGCGCCAGCCGAAGGTTTACCGATGCTAGATAATCTTTGTCGGGTATTTTTGAGACGTTCCAATTGAATTGCATGACTATCATAGGATAAAAAATAACAAACTTCTGACTTGTGAGGTGGTTCTATCTTGTGATGTGTTAATGTGGGAGCCAATTCTTATATCGTAGTTTTAGATGCTAAGGAGTTTCATGGATATTGTTATTTTGCATGTGCGGACTAGAAGCACTGAAATACCGTTACCGCAAATACTATTTTAGAACTTATGTGAACAAGTTAACCAGAGTGAAAACTAAGGGAAATCTGGCACAACTGGTTGCATAAGGAAGTTCAGCGATTTTACCATCAGTCTCCTCGCAGAATTCCAACACAACGCGACTAGCTCATCTTCTAGTAAAAACGTTTTCAGAAACAAAAAATTGAAATTAATAATAAAGAAAAAAAAAATTTCCAGCGTCTCGTAAAAAATACATGAAAGTTACAGAAAAATATTATTGAACGAAAAGTTAAAAGTACATGTTTTCCGCAGTCTTTTTCCTCTTAATTAGATCGCAAAAAAATACTCTGGAATGAAAAATTAAGTCTAAACGTTTCTCTAAGGCTTTATTTTTGAGGATTGATGCGTAATGTAGGACCAATGTAGGACCTATYCTCCATCAAGCGGCCCTCTCACATAGCGAAGACCATCCGCCRCGACTACAAGCGCCTCCTCGGGTTTTTGGTGACACCGCAGGAACTATGGGAGACAACTTTTAAAAAAATCAAAAATGCACTTCCGCTAGGGGGACGAATAGGGAGAACGATTCACACATGATCTATTTATCAAGTTTTTTGTTTAGTGCAATTTAGTTTTTGTTTAGTGCAATTTAGTTTTTGTTTTTTTTGTTTTGTTTTGTATAAGTTATATTCTAATAATTTTGATGTTTGAGGGATGAATTGCGCTAACAAAAATCTCAAATAGTACGACTCCTACTAAAAGATACTGCTATGGAATGTAYATTTTATAACTGTGGTACGCTTCTTAATCGTTTGTACGGAGTTACCCACATTTTTCATAGTTACTTACATATGTTATTCTTTGTATAGTATAACAGAGGACGTCGACGAAAAGAAATTTGGGTTTTTGGCGTGATAACCACAGAATTCGAACCGGCAAGAGGRYATTATCAAGTGGTTGCAAACAGAAGCCGACAAACACTTGTACCGATCCTCGATAGGTGCCTCAAGCCTGGAAGTGAGGTACATACGGATGACTGGGGTGCTTACGAGCAGTTAAAACTCAATCTCGCCAATAAAGTAACAACCCACAGAGTCGTCAACCACTCATGTACATAATTGGCATACTGGTATTGCAAACCTTAGGTAAGTGCACCAGTAAATTAGACTGTTTCTATGCTATATGAGATGCTGTACATAAGGAATTTTGATATACAGACAATACATAAGACAAAACCATTTTTTCATTCATGCACATCATTAGGACTTCCAGTTCAAACCATTCAGTTGGATTCATTTGCGTTAGGTTATGTGAAGTTTGGCATCTTGATCTGAAACAAAAAC